CCTCTTGTAAAAAGTTTGCTTCCTGGTCCCCAGTTTGGGGACCTTGAAGACTATGGAGAGAATTGTGAGAACAATGAGCAGTAAAGGCAAGTTGTATTTAGATTTTTCATAGCATCCTTTTCCTCTTTATCAGACTGGCAGTTACGGTCCCTTTTTAATTTGTTTCCTGGTCCCCAGTTTAGGGACCTTTAAGACCACGGAGGGGCTGTGAGAACAATGACTGCTTTTTTCCAGAAGGCTTGGAAGATAAGCGTGGCTGGTTCCTTCCTGGGGGTCTTGTCCTGAGGCCTTCCCACTCTACTTGTCTTTGGATTTGGTTTCCTTCCCCACACCTGGCACATAAACTCTTGGTACAGAAGCCCACAGGGTTTGGTGAGACACTGGAACATGGAATTGAAATAAGTCCTGCTGGTACAGTGGACCCTTGACTTACGAACTCAGTTCGTTCTCAAGGGCTGGTTGGAACTCAGGTTGGTCAGTTGAAGGCTCAGGCTCCTCTGCACAGCCTTCAAAGTCTCTCTCCTGCACATAGGCAGATCTGTGTCCTTAGAGACACCGGGCTAGGATTTCTCAGTGAACGCACACAGGAGAGGACGCTGTCACGATCCTTCCAGAGCTCTTTTTAGGGTTGAATCTGTATCTGAGACCATCTGGAAGCACAAGTGGCTGGCATTCGGATCATGACTCAAGACTTTGCTCAGAAGTTACAACTAAAATTCCAGTCGTAACCCAGATTGTTTGCGTATTAGGCCTGTTGTAATTCGAGGGTCCACTGTAATTAGTAAGAGGTTGGAGAAATTGGGTTTTGTTACTCTTCAGTTGCCAAAGCCCAGTAGTTCTTTCACCCTGGTTTTTTGCAGTTTGTAGACATGGTGTGGGAAGCAGAGAGGTCGCAAGTGCAGGATGCCTGGCTCCAAGCTCTGTATTCGTGGAATCTCACCTTTCGGTGCCTCAGTTTCCTCATCTGTAAAGTGTAGGAGATAACAGCACCGACTTCCTCAGAAGAATGTAACTGTAAGGGTCGGGAGCATTAATGACCTAGTGACATTGTAAACCGACTGTGATAAGTGCTCTGCATTTTGAGTCCTCGTTTATTACTCAGACTGTTACTTATTAGTGAGTACCCATTACTCGATTAATATTTATTAATTTGTTTCTTGCCCAGTCTCCTTCCCTTCTACTCACTCTTCTTGAGCTGTCATGACAGGACCTGCAGGATTGGTGGTGACAGCTGTCACCTGTGTCTTTAGATCAGAACCTGGGTCCAAGTGATGGCAGAAGCTGCTGCCGCCGGGGTGCAGCTCAGAAGTTGGATGCTGCAGCCCTGGCAGGTGGAGTGATGGGGCTGAGGGACCCAAGGGAGAACACCTGGCTTCTTATCGGAATCCACAGCTCAGTAGGTTGTTCTTTGACCTTCCTGACATCAGCTTCCAAATATGCAAAAGGGAACTGAAGCAGTATTGGGTCTGTTTGGGATTAAGAGATGAATGAATGCAGCTCTCAACACACTTTGGTGAGCTGGGTCATTCTTGCTGTTTAAAAATGGGAAACAGGAGGGCAAAGTTAACTATGTCCCAGCTTAGAAGCCTTTGTAAATTACCAGTGACACCTGCAGTTAGGTTCCAGTCGACACCTGTCCAGTATATGATGCAGGTCTGAGAAATAAATACACTGAGAGACAGATCTAGGAGAGAGAAAGCAGGGCCAGGACATCCAATGCCGGTGCAACTGACAAAGGCGCCGCACAGGCCCAGGCGCTGACTTTATTGGCAATCAACTGGGGTAAAGGCGACGTGTGGTTTCTATGGGAATTGAAAGGACAAGACAAAGCATTCTGCAGTTAGGAACAGAACAGACAAAATATATGGCTGTGGTTAGAGCACTGCCCTTCAGTCTGAAGGGAATGGAATTTGGGTGCGAGTTACTCTGACCTCGGCACAGAGGCTTCCGCCAGACTCGCTCCTATAAACTGCCACTTGGATTTGCCCTTCACAGCCGGCCTTGGGCTCACCAGTGTTATGGCCCTCGGCAGTATGTGACTTCGCCTCTGTCCCCTCCAGCCCACCAAGGGTGCTCTGCCTCTCCTGGCAGCTCCACCTTGGAAAGTCTGGTTTCATCCATGCCTGGGGCAGAACAATTGAGGCTCAGGTGCTTGAAGGCTTCTGCTTCATGATGAAGATATTTGCAAGGTGATTGAACAGTTCACAGGAGGATGTTCTTTCTTGTCCTCATTAATCAAAATCCTGAAGGCATCATTTTGCTTCTGATGTGCTTTAAAATTGAAAGTGGCCTTCCGGAGGACAACAGTGCGGGTGACAAGGGTCATCCACTGGTGCAGCTCCATGGAGAACATTTCTTGTGAGCCGAGTTTTGCAGAGAGAGGACTGCCCATCCCTCGAGTCACAGGGGAGGTCATCACTTGGTTTATGGTGGGTTAATTTTAAAGAGCTCCTGAGCTCCTGAAATGGGTGAGTGCTACAGTGGGGCTGCGCCCGATAGAGCAGGGAGAACTAGAACAAGCCCGCTGCCCTGGGGCTTGCTGTCAGGAGCCTCCGCTGTGGCCGTGTCGGTGCAGGGCACCTGCACAAGCGAAGGGACTCACATGCGTGTTCTGGTGCACACTGACATGTGTGTACGTTATGCACATGCATGTGTTATGGACACCGTCCTCCCTCAGTAGCAAGTGCCATACTGAGTCGATTAGGGAGTAAGTTCAGAAAAATCTGCACACGATCAGCTCAGATGCAATTTTAAAAATACGTTGTTGAGCTACAAGTGGTTGAATCCCTGGATGTGGAACCCACAGATACAGTGGACTGATTCTGCGTTTAAAAGATAAAAAGCCCTGGGCCTTGGTTTTAAAAAGAACTCCAACCAGGCTGGAGGAAACCCTGAGTAAGCGCTCAGCTCCTGTGACCTGCACTTCATCTCGTGGCTGTGTCTGAAACATGACGGGGGTGATGATGCCACGTTCAGTGACCAGTGTGCTCGGGAAGCCGGATGTTGAAATTGAAAATGGCACGACTTCGGCTCTGGCCTCACTCTGTGACAGTGTGTGCGACTTGCATAAAAGAGGAAGCAAACGTCTTTCCTTTGTAGAAGCTTACAGAGCATAGAATTTAGGGTGGACCTTGAATCAATGCAACAGAAAAACCAAATGTCCCTCGCGCAGTGGCCCTAAAGCAGAAGGTTTGTCTCTGGGGCGAGTGCGTTTCCTGTCCCTGCTGCAGCGAGAGGTGATTCCACTCCAGGGCTGGCCAGAGGTCCCTTCCAGATCCAGGATTTGTCTGGCTAGTTTCCTTGTGCCTTTAGTAGTTATGTACATCTTTTTTCTCCATTTCCTCCCTCCCTACTCTCATATTTTTTCCTTTAGTTTTCAGTTTTAGGTTTACAGCACAAAGGGCAGAAAGTATACAGTCCTGCTCTTCTTGAGTTTCTTCTGTGTGTAGCATCTTGCATTAGTGTGGGGCACTGGTTACTGTGAAGGAGCCCACGTTGCTACATTGCTGAGGTTATTTAAGTCCGCTGTTCACTTTTGGGTTTGGTGGCGTACACTCCATGGGTTTTGACGAGTGAGTGTCACATACCCACTGCTTTACAGCACCACATAGCATCGCTTCACCCCCTGACAAGAGCCCTGTGCTGCCCTGTCCAGTCCTCCTCCCCCGCCCGCTGGCAACCCCTGACCTTACTGTCTTCCAGAATGCTGTGCAGTCAGAAACCTGCAATATGTAGCCATTTCGGACTGGCTTCTTTCACATCACATCCCTTTGTAGCTTGCTGATCCGTTTGTTTTGTCATTGAATGACACGTCTGTGTTTGGGAGCCCACAGTCCAGCGCCCATTCACCTGTTGGAGGGCTTCCCAGGTGCTCCTCATTTGGGCGTTTATGAATAAATCTACTCTAAATACCTAGTGCATGTTTTGTGAGTTTTCTGTTTGCGTGGTGAATACGGAGAGGTACGTATTCATGTGGTATTCTGGCTCATGTGGTGGGGAGGTCTAGTCTTTCTAAGAAGCTGCCAAGCTGCCTTCCCTCCAGCCATCTTGCTCTCCCTCCAGCAATGAGCGGGGCTCTTGTTCCGCATGCTCCCAGCGTTTGGTGCTGTCAGTTTTGGACTTGAGCCATTTTAATTCACACGTGTTTAGCTGACCTTTCTCCTATGCAGATGTTTGGACTCCAGAAGTCCCTGTGACTCTTGTAATGCATCACTACGATTGTCATATATCAGTCACAGTCCAGAGGGAGGAAGGCGTTGGAGCCAATGCCAGACCCTCTATGTCCATACTGTGCTACTGTTAATAGTCAAGCTTATTTGTACTTCTTTTCGTTTAATTTGAAAACAGATGTCACCAGGATATTCATCTGACATAGTTCTTATTAACATGTATAATTAATTGACACATGAAAGTATAAAAAAGCACTGATGATCACTGCACATTTTTCTCAGTAACCAGTTTGAGCAGTTGCTACTGGTTCTGTTTTTTTATTTTTAAAAGTCTTACATCTTTGAGGTGCACAACTTGGTGATCTGTATAAATATACGTGGTAAAATAATCTACACCGTCAACATGATGACCATTAACATATCCATCACTTCGCAGTGACCTCTTTGTACGTGTGGCGGGAACCCTTCGGCTCTGTACTCCTAGTGAGTTTTTTCTTTCTTAAACTTTTGTCAGTACGTGTTTGCTGCTCCTTCTGGGATTATTTTGGTGTTCCCTTCTCCTCTCCTCTCCTCCTTTCCCTTCCTCCATCCCTTGCACAAGATCTCTCTGCCTACACCGTTGCCACTGTAGCCACAGCTGCAGCGGAGACCCCGGAAGGACGCCTCACACACAGCCAGAGCCGACCCCTCGCCCGGCTCTCCCCGCCCTCCAGCTCCTGCACCCCAGCGCCTGCTCTCAGCTTTTCTGAGTCCAGCTGCTGGGGCTCACACGGCTTCCCTTTCTGTGCCTGAGCTCCTGAGTCCAGACTGAGGTTTGCCTGCATCTTTCAGGTCTTTCAGGTGGCCTACATCATCATCAAAGCAGCCAATGCCCCGCGACCTGGAAACTGGATTTTGGAGCGCTCCCTGGACGGCGTCACATTCAGCCCCTGGCAGTACTACGCGGTCAGCGACTCCGAGTGCTTGACGCGCTACAACATCACCCCACGGCGCGGGCCGCCCACCTACCGAGCTGACGATGAAGTGATCTGCACCTCCTATTACTCCAGGCTCGTGCCGCTGGAGCACGGAGAGGTAAGCAGGCTGCTGCATCGGACCCCCGAACACAAATGCTGAAGCCGCCCAGTCAGAGCCAGCTCTGGTGCTCAAAGCTGGCTGCTTTTGGCACAGAGCTCCTCACTGAGGCTCCCAGCTCGCCTGGCATGGCGTCGTGGTGGTCGGTCTCACTTGGTTTCGTCTTCCCTCGTGATCGCTCCCCTTCCCAGAGGTCCTTGAGTCTCCGCCGCTGTGATCCAGTCACACTCCCAGGTTCCCCTTCGCAGCTTCTTTCCAGAACTTGAGGTCGAGAACAGTTGTTGAAATACTACAGAGAGCCTGGCCTCCCTCTGAAAGATTTAGTTCCCACTTTTCTCCATGTCCTCCTTCTCTTTGGAGGTCACCGAGGTGACCTCCGAGGTGACACAGCTCGGTTCGGGTCCCGCACGCCCAGTGTGCACACGCATCATCAAGTTGAGTGCGATCCTGGCTCGGTGAGGTGAAGCCGCGACACCCTCCGCGGTGCTCCTTGAGGCGGGGGTCTGCAGAGAGCCTGCACTGCTCTAAGAACGGAGATTAAGAGAGTGGCTCGTTGCCGCCTCCTCTTGCTTTCCAGCGTGATCATCAAGTGGAAGTTGCTTCTCTGAAGCTGTCGCCTGACAGTAGATGCTGATGCGTCCTCCCGCTCTGGAGGAGAGATCCCCAGCGCGCTGTCAGGTGCTGATGGACCACTCATCCGCTACCGGCCAAGGACCTGGTGACACACGAGCAGTTGGCCCTCATGACACGTTATTTCCAGAGCTCAGCTGCTCGGTTCTGACTCAGTTAGTGTCTGGACAGCTTATGTCCTAAAGTTAAGCGGCCAGGGCTGCACCTTTGCGTGGCTGAAGATGATGTCTCCATTGCTGTCTTGGTCTCCAGATTCATACGTCGCTCGTCAATGGCAGGCCCAGTGCCGACGACCTCTCGCCCAGGCTGCTGGAGTTCACCTCCGCCCGGTACATCCGCCTCCGCCTGCAGCGCATCAGGACGCTCAACGCAGACCTCATGACCCTCAGCCACCTGGACCCCAGGGACATCGACCCCATCGTCACGCGGCGGGTGAGTCTGGCAGAGCCTGGTAAAGGTTAGTTTGTTTCGGGAAACATTCTCTGCTTTTCCTTTCTGTTCCCTTCCTAAGTTGGCTTTCGTCCTCCAACTTCACTGAAGAGCATTTGTCACTTGCTGCCGATGCTACCCTTAGGTTATGGCACTGAAGTCGTCCTGTCCCCTCGGGCCCTGGAGTGGAGAATGAAACAGTCTTTGCTCTTCACACCAAGTCAGGATACTTTTCATTTCGATTTTGAATTTTAAAACTTGAGAAACATTTCATAGAATGTGCAGGTTTCACTGTACGACCAGATGTACCAGACTTGTGTGGGTAAATAGCCCTTCACACCCAGGGTGCAGGGTAGCATTTCAAGAAACTAGTAAACTTTTATTGAAAGCAATTGCACCCTTTTCCACACTTGATCTTAGCCAAAAGGCCGAGAAGCGATTGCACCCTTTTCCAAAGAGACCAGCAACATGCCGGAGCTCTGGTTGTGTCAGGTGCATCCAGATGCTGAGCTGGTCCTTCCCGTGTCCACTGCTGTGACCTGCACGTGGCAGCCTGGCCCGTGACGCCCACTTGCATTTCTGTGAGAACTGATTTTCAGCATTTGCTGATTAGCATTTGATCACACTTTGTGTCCATTTCGAATTGGGCTACCAGTCTCCTTCCTCCTGAGTTGTAGAAGATCTTCATCTGTTTTGAGCACGAGTCCTTTATCAGGTGTGTGGATATCGTGAATACCTTCTCTCTGTCTGGAGCTTGCTTATTCATTTTCCTGACTTTTAATGAGCAGAGGTTTCAGTTCTGATGAAATTCAACAAGATGACATGGTTGTGTATATAGAAAATCTGCAAAACAGTACTAGAAAATAAATGAATTTGGCACTATTGCAATATGCAAATCAAATGAATCACATAAGAGAAATATATTAGCACTTATGCTGCAAAAGCCAAAGAAGTGGCGATAGCAGATCTCGAGGAAATCACTTTATCCTCTTACTGATTTTTCATGCTAGCCCATGGTGGCGAAAGCTTTATAGGTCGCGTGTGCCAACTGCAACCCTAAACCCACTTATTTATCACAAAGTGCCAAACAGCAATTAAACCTGAATCCTGAGGTTTTAGTTCAAATAAGACAACTCTACACGAACGTGTTTTGCCTTAAGAGAAAAACAGATCACACGCACGTGTGTCGTAAGTTCACCACCACTATGTTGGGCTGTGTCCTGGAATAAATCTTACTGGTTCGTGATGTATTCTCCTTTTCAGATACTTCTGTATACAACTTAGCAGGATTTTTAGGGGTTTCAGCTACACAGGTTTTGAAGACAACTACTTTGGTTTAAGATGAAGCCAAGTAGGAAAGTTGTTTTAGATTCTTTTGGGTTCTGATGATGAGCTAATTTGAGCATTTATTGATTTTAACTAATCACGAAGATTCTTTGCACATGAAATACAGCTTTAGGACGTGCATGGCATCCTAGATTACCCTTGACTTATACACCACTGGAGATATTTTCTCAGTGCCAATGTTTCCTTCTCACTGAAACAAAGGTTTGAGTTTCTGTTCGTGACCTTCTTTCCCGCAGTACTACTACTCCATCAAAGACATTTCTGTGGGAGGGATGTGCATCTGCCACGGCCACGCAAGTAGCTGTCCGTGGGATGACACCACAAAGGTGAGTCCTACATCTCCAGCCCCTGAGACTCCACCGGAAGCCTCCTGCAATCCTCTGCTGACTCTCTTCGCTCAAGGCATGTGGTGCAGGGTATTAAATGACATCACAGGAAATAGGAAACAAGATTCTCAGATAATTCAACTGGCTTCATGTTTTAAACAGTTCATCGTTTTGCTTGGTTTGGAGGATATACTTATAATTGAGTCCTTGCTGTGAATTTTTGTGGAAACACATCCATAACATGGCATTTATCATGATTGAGATCTGTTTGGCCTAGACAGATTGAACTAGTTATAATTATTCTCCATAATGATAATAAATAAGTGGGTAAGCTATAAAATTTGTTAAGGGATCAAGTAATTGTGAAAATCGTTTTATTCCATATCCTCCTGATTTTAGTCAAATAGTTGTGGGGACCATTGAACCTGAGATTGGGGTTCTGAGGTTTGAAGCTCCTCTCTGCAGAAGAGTCAGCAGAAACCATTACAATTATTCATCGCGTTTACATGTTTTTCAAAGAAGGGTTCCTCTCTTCCAGTTTTCTCCCTCTCCATATTTGTGATACTAAACCAAGATAAAGTTTATGTGTGTTAGCACCACATGAAGTAAGTAATACAGGTTCTCTTTTCAGAACACATGAGGTTACTTTTTTCCCTCCAGTCTTAGCAGTTTTTTATTTTTGAATAGGATTATCTTCTTTTTCTTTTCTGGGGATTGAACCTCAGGCTCTGTGCACGCTGAGAAAATGCTTTACCACTGAGTCACAGCACAAGATTGTCCTATTTTTTTGCTAAAAAAATCTGTGAGTGCACATCAGCAAGCAATAAGTGAGAAAATATGGGAAAATCTCCTAATAGTTAAGAAAATTATTAATAAGAACTTCCGACCCATGAAAGCCAGTGTGCCTTCTAAAAACTTCTTGTTAGTCAGCCCATATTTTCGCTTTGCTTTATTCCTCCTCACTGTTGTTTGTAACCAGGCTGTGTGCTCTCATTCTTCTCTAAAACGGAAATGCCAGCATGTCTGCTGCAGCCACAGAGCCGTTGGGGGCCGGAGCGGTGCGCTTGTGAAGGCCTGCTGTCTGTCTGTCTGTGTTTGGTTTTTTGAGACAGGGTCTCATTATGTAGTTGAGACTGACCTGGAACTCACTGTGTAGTAGCCCAGGCTGGTCTCGAACTCACAGCGATCCTCCTGCCTCAGCCTCCCAAGTGCTGGGATTACAGGCATGCGCCACCGTGCCCAGCTCCGTCTGTCTGTCTGTGATGTGACGTGAAGACAACTCCGGGCCCAGCTTTCTGATCTCATTTTGCACCCTTCTTGCTTAGCGACTGCGGTGCCAGTGTGAGCACAACACCTGCGGGATCAGCTGCGACAGGTGCTGCCCCGGCTTCCATCAGCAGCCCTGGAGGCCAGGCACCGTGTCCTCCGGCAACTCCTGTGAAGGTCGGTGCCCCGCGCTCGGCCAGGTGCTCCTTCCTCTCCGCGGGGCTGTGGGGCCCCGGCAGCCGGCAGCTGGTGCAGTGTGTGTGCCCCGTGCTGCTCTGGAGACGCTTTCCTTGGTGTGAGGGTTAGACCCAAGGCCTCTTACGCGCCGAGCACGCTCCCACCTGAGCTGGGCCCCAGCCCCACGAGTTGCTTTTTATTTATTTTGCTTTAGTTAGTACCTGTGTGCAGTGCACGGCAATGACGTGCGTCGTGTGGAGCTTGACGTGTGCATAACACGTCTTAGTTCGTTGTGCTCCCCGCCCCCATCCTTTTCTTGGTCCCCTTCTCATTTGCAAGAGATCTGTCTCCCTGTTTCCTCTTATCTGTCTTTTATTTTGCTCTTTAAGTTATGTATATGCTGGGCTTCTCATTTACGAGAAACCGTGTGATATTTAAGCTCGTGTGTCTGGTTCACGCCACTTAGCTTTGTGGTCTCAAGGTGCACCCACTGCGCTAGAAATGACTCACGCCATCCTTGTTCGTGGCAGAGTGGTACTCCGTCTTTTCACCCACTCATCTGTTGTTGGGCCTGCGGGCCACATCCAGGATTTAGCTGTTGTGCGTCGTGCTGCTGGGCATAAACACAGGTGTGCATCGACTACTGTACTGAGCTCACACTTTGCTTTTTAATACTTAGTGATGGGTTTTTAAATTCTTCCCATGCTAGCAATTTGAAATTTTAAAGGCAGTTACACAGAATTCCATCGTGTGGATGCAATCAAGTTATTTAACAGCTCCCTGTCTGTCGGCAGAGGTTCCTGTGGATGCAGGCCTGTTGTTAACCTCCCAGCGGTGCTGTGTTTAGCCCTGCCCGGGTCCTGGGGAACTGTTGGGACTTTCAGAGTGCAAGCCCAGAAGATGGGCCCCTGGGTCAGAGAGACGTGTAAATAGACGTGCACTTTTCGGGCGGCTTTTCCCGATTGTCCTTCAGGGTTCTCTGTCTGAGATCATTGTTATTCTGGCATTGCAGTGTGAACTGTAGTCGCAGCAGGTCCTTCATACAGGACCCACTGTGTGTGCTAACTGAGATGCGATGCACCCTTCCAGAGTGCAACTGCCACCACAAAGCCAAAGACTGCTACTATGACCAGGACGTTGCGAACCAGAAGAGAAGCCTGAACACCGCGGGGCAGTTCCGAGGAGGCGGCGTGTGCATCGGCTGCCAGCAGAACACCATGGGGATCAACTGTGAAGCCTGTGTGGACGGTTACTACAGGCCGCATAAGGTGGGCACGGGCTTCCCAGGGCAGGGCGCCCGGACTCCGCGGTGGGAGCCAATCCGCCTCTCCATGACGGACTGACTTCCCCTTGTGGTGCTCCACGGTGGCTCTTCTTATGCCGGAAGTGGCCTTTCCATTTCTGTCCCTGCTTGTCCTCTGCTGGCTCCCAGTGGGATGTGTGTGCACTGTCTGACTTGGGTCTCAGCTGCGAGCTGTAAATGCGGAGGTTAAGCCACGGACCGAAGCAGCGGGCTCATGGCTGTAGGATCCCCCAGGACCCCTGCAGGCGGACCTCAGCTGTTACAGGAGACCCCTAAAAATGGTGCGACGGGGAAGGGCGGCACCCAGCTGATGGTACAAACCTCGGCCACCATCAGAAGATGCTGGGGACTTCTGTCTCCCTGAGACCCGTCCCCCTTGGTACACAAAGTCATTGTCACGGTGTCTGATGAAAACCCAGCACCGTTGACGTCGCTGCTGCCAGCATCTCTGTTATTTCTCGAAAGCTAACTCTGGACCGCCTCTGTCTTACAGGTGTCGCCTTACGAGGATGAGCCCTGTCGTCCCTGTGACTGCGACCAGCTGGGGTCCCTCAGCTCTGTCTGCATTAAGGACGATCTCCAGTCTAACTCACACAACGGTGAGCTCCTGCTTCGCTTTCCTACTGCCGGTCTCCTTCTGCCTGGAAGATTTGTACCTGCTAGCACTCTTCCCATTGTGTAGCAACCTGAGGATGCGATTCTTATTCAGCAAAACCTGGGCGGGCACTGCCCTGTCTCAGGTGTCTTCTGGAAGCCAGGGATGTAGTAGTGAGCAGCAGGGCCCCGGCTCACCCACGGGAAGCAGGCAGCCAACGGGTGCACGAGTGCAGTGCTGGAAACACAGTGCTGGGGGCATCGTGAGGGAGGGGAGCGGGGTGGGGAGCGGCCAGCATCGGGGTGAGAAGATGCTGTTTGGGGAGATAATCTCCGCACATTCCCGTAAGTGGCAGCCGCTCTGTTTAGCTCATAGGTGGCCTGGGAGGGCGTTGGCGTCCGTCACCCACAAAGCACCAGATCTCCCCGATCCTGCGCGGTTCCAAGCTCTTCCAGCTTCCAGGACCGGGCAGCGGGCCTGCAGGTGCCAACTTTCCGGAATAGGCTGCTTCTCTTTTGAGGCTTCTGCGCCCTGTCCTGTGCCCAGCCAGGGGGCAGTGAAGGCGGCCGTGGACCCACAGGGGTGGGAAGGGAAAGGACCTGGAGGGACTGAGCCTTCCGTCCATCACGTGCTGACCCTGGACGAGGGTGCTGCTCCTGCTGCTGGTGACAGGGACCTTGGGCCAGGTTCTGAGCCCTTGGGCCACAGCAGAGAGGTTTTTAACCCGCCTCAGGGTGAGAAGCTGTGGCTAAGAACCGGGGTCAGGGTCCCGCCGCTGCCAAGAGTCAGAGCGGGCTTTAAACACAGATCTTATTTGCCTCTGTGCTTTATTTGAAACTGTTTTTACAGCTTACAATAACCCAGGGTTTTTTTTGTTTTGTTTTGTTTTTAGTTTTTATTTTGAGGCAGGACCTTGCTAAGTTGTCAGGAATCGGCTGCAGCTTGCAGTCTTCCTGACTCAGCCTCGCAGAGTGCTGGAATTACAGGACCCTGCCGCTGTGCCCAGCTTGTTTTATAATTCATCACCATGCTCCCATGTAAGCCATAGGATTTAATATAATTATTTAGTGAGTCATATAATTATATAAATACATTTAGTTCATCGCCTTCAACAGCACAGTCTAATAGCAGAACACTTTTACCATCCCGAGAGGAAACTCCTCACCCATGAGCTGCTGGCCCGTGTTCTCCGCGCCCCTCGCTTCCACACCCAAAGCCCAGGCAGCCGCATTCTCTGCACAGCCTCGCCATTCTGCACGGTTCACAGGAAGGGAACCATCGTCCACCGTCACTACCCCTGTTCCGTGCAGTTCAGGAAACACCAGCCACAGCAATTAGACAAGAGAAGGACATGAGAAGAACAGAGACAGGAAAGGAAGGAGTGAAACTCTCACTGTTTGCTGACGATATGATGCTCTACACTGAAGACCCGAAAAACTCTGCCAAAAGACTTCCAGACTTAATGGACAGATTCAGCAGAGTAGCTGGATACAACAAGGTCAACACTCAAAAATCGATAGCCTCTTGTACACAAATAACAGACTCGCTCAGAGAGAAATTAGAGAAACAATCCCTTTCACAATAGTGTCCCCAAAAAGTGAAATATCTAGGAATCAATCTACGAAGGAGACAAAAGACCTCTACACTGCAAACTACAGCACTCTGAAAAAAGAGATCGAAGAGGATGTAAGAAAACGGAAAGATATCCCCTGTTCCTGAGTAGGAAGAACCAGTATAGTGAAAATGGCCATACTACCAAAACTGCTATACAGATTCAGTGCAATCCCCATTGAAATCCCAACAGCATATTTCACAGAACTTGAGAAAATCCAAAAATTCATTTGGAACCAGAAGAGACCTAGAAGAGCAAAAGCAGTTCTGGGCAGCAGAGACATGGCAGGGGCATCAGAGTCCCCAACCTGAAACTGCGCATCTGTTGTGAGGGTTTCCTCGTCACTGGCTTTTTCCTCTGCTGTCATATCCCGAAGGGTCTCCTGTACGTAGTGTGTACCCATGGCTCATCTCTCTCCCGCTGAGTACTATTCCAGGGTAAGCCGCAGATCTCCTCTCATCAGGGGATGAGTACTTGGCTATGCTGAGTCACGCTGCTGTGAACATTTGTGTAGGAGTTTTGTGGACACATATCTTCATGTTTGTGGGTCAACCCTTCGTATTATATGGCAACTCTATACATAACATCTTTCTTCTTTGGGACAGGGCCTCGCTTTCTGGTTCAGACTGGCCTTGAACTCAGTATGTAGCTCAGGCTGGTGTCAAACTCACTGCGATCCTCCTGCCTCAGACTCCCATGAATACCATTTAGAAGCAGTGCCAGCCTGTTTTCCAGGGTTTCCACACCATTCTCCATCACCACCAGTCTCCATAAGGTTTTTCTCTTTTCTTTTAAACTGGGTCTTGGACAATGGTGGCCCATGGACCAGAGCCTCCCACTGCCCATTTTTGTGAATACGGCTTAGAACTGAGCTGCGGCTGTTTGCTTCTCTGCCATGGGCGGCCATGTTCGAGCAGGAATGGCTGAGCCGAAGAGCTGCGGTGGCAGCCGTGGCCGCTGGTCAGCATCTGCTGCCAGCCTCTTACCTTTCTCCGGGGTCTTTGTCCGCAGGACTCTGGCCGGGGCAGTGTCCCTGCAAGGAGGGTTATGCAGGAGAGAGGTGTGACCGCTGCCAGTTTGGCTACAGGGGCTTCCCGAGCTGTGTGCGCTGTAACTGCAGCCCGGCGGGCAGTGTGAACGACGACCCGTGTGCAGAGCCGTGTCTTTGCAAGGTCAGTGTGGAGGCCAGAGCGCCCCTGGGCTTCTTCTGGGCTTCTCGGGAGTCGGATGTGTTCCCTGGCGCAGATGCTCCGCCCCAGCGGTAAGAGTTGGGCAGAGCCGGCCTCACTTCGCGTGGCGTGTCCTGGCGAGCGGGCTGCGCTCTTCGAGTGTCCGTGGCCTTGGAGATTCCTGGTTTAGTATTTTCCTGTTCCCGGAGCATCTGTGTGACTTCTGAGGTGACACCAACACTACACGCTGTGTCTTGGACCTTGACTTAATTCTTCCTGACCTCCTTCTTCAGCTCGGAGTGGAGTAGAGCTGGGTCATCCCCGCATTTCCAGACCATTAATGAAGTGCAGGTCTGCTGTCTGGGATCTGCTGAGAAGGACTGGAGCAGGCATAAGAAATGCATTCCACGGTGCCGGGAGGGGCTTATTGGCTGTCTGACACGAGTGACAATTTCCCTGGGATCCTGAGGCTTTCCTGCTGTCCCCGTGTGCTTGTTCCCACACACGCAGAGTCCTAGGCACATGTTTACGCGACTGAAAATAACCTTGAGTGTTTGTGAATAGGGAAAGCACTTCTGCGGCCCACTGTACTTACCTGTCACCGAGTCCTGTTGAGCCCTTCTCGTCCAGGTGGTGCGCGTGTCCGGCTCTGCCTGATCTCCCCAGCTATCCTTTCATGGTCTCTTGCAGGACAATGTGGAGGGGGAAGCCTGTGACCACTGCAAGCCAGGGTTCTACAACCTGCAGGAGAAGGACCCGCAGGGCTGCTCCGAATGCTTCTGCTTCGGCCTGTCCAGTGTCTGCGACAGCCTTTCTTGGCCCCTGGGTCAGGTGGGTGGGGCCAGGAATGGGTGAATCTCCTGAGCTCTCCGAGCTGACTGCTGGGCGCAAGGCCTCCTGCCCCTGAAATACCGCATCTGCGAGGGTCAAAGACAGCCAGGCCACTCCCGAAAGTGGCCCAAAACTTTGTGAGTTGTGTGTTTGCTCTCACATGCCTTTTCCCACCCAGTGAGAAGGCTGATGCGGTATTGCAGGGCACACCCTGTTCTGTGCCTTCTGCGGAGAGATGCATGAAGTGGGATTCAAATCCTACCGCCCCTCTGGTCTCCAGCAGGAGGCACACATGGATCTCAGAAGTTGGGGATGGCTGGGGGGCGGTCAGGGTAGGAAGGGTGCTCTGGGAACAGGAAGTGGAGGCAGCAAATGATACCAGGAGGAGGAGCTGCTGGGCACACTGCTGACCCACTGGAGACTACTGTGGTCACCACGCAGTGGGGTGGGTGCACTAGGAGCGCTGCATCTGAAGGTTGTGACACATTTTGCAGCATTTGGTTAAGAACCTGGAAGTGGAAGTCAGAGTTTACAAAAACATTTTATTCACTGCACGTACAAGCTGAGATTCTGGTGACCGGAAGTGTTTGGTTTGCAGATCTTTTTCAGATGTTGGGCTACTTGCTTATGCATACTGAGCTACCTCGGGGGTGGAATCCAAGTCTAAGTAATAAATTCATTGACGTTCCACATGCACCTGTTGCACTCAGCCTGAAGGAAATTTTGTGTAGTATTTTTTGTGCACCTGCGTTTTGACCTAAACTTTTCACATGAGCTAGGTGTGGAATTTTCCCCTTGTAGCATTGTGTTGGTACCCAGAAAGTTGTGGTTTGGGGAACGCTTGGAGATAGGCAGATATGGAGATATTTGCACAAGACTGGAGAGGACCCCAGGCAACCTCAGCTTCATGTCTAAGATTCTCACATTTTCCTTAAGGTGAACGACATGTCTGGGTGGATGGTCACGGACCTGGCCGGTGCCAGGGAGCTCAAGTCCCAGCAGGAGGCGGCGGGTGGGCGCCAGATCAGCATCAGCCACGCGGAGGTGGCACACAGTCTGGGCACCAGGTACTACTGGTCGGCCCCCGAGGCCTACCTGGGGAACAAGGTACGTGCATGGGTCGGGCAGAGATGCTGGGGCAGAGGTCGCGGTGTTCAGAGAGAGCTCCTCCTGCTGGCCAGACCGGGGCCCTTCATGGTCTACACGCAGGCCTGCCAGGCGGGGTCTGCTCAGTCCTCGCTTGGCTTCTGCTCTGGGCCCAGAGGCCCGGGCAGTCTGAGGTGTGAAGTCCCAGCCTCCTGCTTCCTTCCCTGGGTCCCTGGAGCACAGGACTGCTGCAATGCATCCGTCCCGTTCCAGCTTGGAGGAGTTAGCCTTTGACTCTGAGTGGAGGGTCCAGTGCAGGGAAGACACGCGGGCCGGCCCCACCGGGGCACTGAGACGCCATGGGCATCGAGAGAGGCCATTGCTCACGTAGTCTGCAGGCAGGAGCCAGCGGGGCACCCACAGTTTCGGTGTTGAGAAAATGCCACACGGAAAGCGGTTTCCTCCCATGGTTCCCCTCACGGTTATGTCCCCCTTCCCTCCAGATTCTGATGGTCAGAACATCTACTTGGGGAACCGTCCCGTATCTGAAGCTCCCTACTAGTTCGGGGGCCTGGTGCATTTAAGGTGACCCCGAGCTTTTGTGGTAATATGACCGTGTAGCTTGGCAAGTTTCCCGTTAATGTGATGATTGCATTTTCCAAGGAGTGTATGCTTTTGAGGCGTCCTTATTTCTGAAAATGCTTTTTCTGTTAAATTACAGGTGTAGCCCCTATACTCTGTAACGTGATTTTTATCACCAAAGTTGGGCGATTATTTTTCTCTTGCAATCTTCTGTCCGGTTTTAAGATGGCAGATTTGTGTCCTGAGCAGTGTGTTATGACACACTCATCGGGAAGGAGACCTGCACACTGAAGCACATCTGATCTGGAGGAGGCGCTTCCTTTAACTGGCAGAGCGAGTGCTGCTTCCTGATAAGTAGGCAGGGGAGTCGCTACTTTGGAGTTCTAGGCCTGGATCAGACTCCCCACCCCCACACTTATTTAGGCGAAATAAATGTGTAATTAACAGAAGTTTTTATAGTCATTTTCCTTGGTGGAGTCTCCAAGAAAGAGTGTATTTCTTCTGTGCATTTTCTGCAGGGATATTCTGTATTTCGTCAACAGGGATGAAACAAAATGTTTGTGTCGAGTGCATTTCCTGCCTTCAGTGTGAATTTCTCACAGCCTGGTATTTCCGGGTGGGTTCTAGCAGCCCCCTCTGCGCACCTCTCTCGTTATCACGCTCATATAACCTTTGCAGCTGACCGCGTTCGGTGGCTTCCTGAGGTACACGGTGTCCTACGACATTCCCACGGAGACAGCGGACGGTGACCTGCTGTCTGACGCCGACGTCATCCTCAGGGTGAGCTCTTGCACTGCTTTGGCTAAAGAGCTGCAGGCTGGTGGGAGCGATGGCCTGGTGCCCGGGAGTGGCCCGGTGGCCGCCCTACCGTCCCTGCTGTGCTCAACCCGAGGCTGCCCTTGGGCTTTGCGGTCCCTCCTCCCCTCCTGCCATCGGCCTCCCTGGTGGATGGAGCAGGTGGCCGGCAGTGGGGACAGAGACGCGCTGCCGCTTCTGTCTTCCACGTCCTCACTCGCCGCACAAAGACCCGGCTCTGCCTCAGCCAGGGCCCGGCACCTCTGGGCTCTCGTCTCTGGTGTCCCTCCACCCTGAGTACCTCGTGTCCACATTTGTTAAGGACGATTCCAGGGAAAGTCGCAGGTGTCATTGCTGTCCGTACTTTTTGCCACTTTTATTCTTTAAAGATTAGGGACTTCAGGCCAGATGTAGGGTGCACGCTGTAATCCCAGGAGATTCTGGGAGCCTGAGTCAGGGGAGCCCAGCCCAGGCAATTCGCAGTTTAGCGAGACTTTGTCTCAAAATAAAAATTTTAGAAAGGCTGAGGATAGAGCTCTGTGCAAAGGTCCTGGGTTCGATCTGCCGTACTGAAGGGAGAAGTGAGGCATAGTTCGATGCTGTTTTTTTTTAGTATTCAGTGGAATTACGGATGCCTTCTCTCTCATTCTGAATGCTAGGGAAATGGACTCACGCTAAGCACCCAGGCCGAGGGTCTCTCTTTGCAACCCTATGAAGAGTACCACAGTGCGGTGAGGCTCGTGCCAGAGAACTTCCTGGATCACACCACCAAGAGGGAGATCGACCGCGACCAACTGATGACCGTGCTTGTCAACCTGAGCCACCTCCTCATCAGAGCTAACTACAACACCGCAAAGACGGTTCTTTACAGGTGCGCATCCACAGGGAGGGCCGTACGGTGAAGGGACTCCATGTTGCTGTGTGTTTTACCTTAATATGCTTCACAGCTGTTGTGTGAAGGACACGAAGGAACTGGCTCTAGCAAGTTACTTGTGTAAGTTATAAGTGTAAAGTCTATTGAAGATCGAAGGCTAGTTGTTCACTGCAAGTGTGTCCAGTAGGGGGCAGTCTTGACCAGCTTCAGACACTCCAGGGCGCTTCCAAGGAAGGATTGAAGAGTTTACATTCCCCTTTACCACACGGCATCTGGTTCTGTCTCTTGATATTAATAGACTTCATTTTGCGAAGTTATTTGAGCTAATGTGTCCATCCTTGGTTGTTTTATTGCTTCGAAGAGACTAGTTTCTGGCAGTGCCCAGCCAAGCATAAAAGTTGGACGCTGCTAAATCAAACATTGCATCCTCATTTAAGGATCATCTCTGCATTTGCAATAAGGTGATTCGAGGGGTGAATTTTTATGCAGCGCTTCAATGCAGATAGGCAGTTTATAGGCAGTAGCACATCTTTGCAACAAACACGGAGGACGTTCCCGGGGAGTAATGACTGCTGGATCCCCAAGAACATGCTGTTGGGGAGCTCCTCATTTACTGACAAACACTGCATGACTATTTTGTTTGAACTGAACCCTTTCAGAGCCCAGCTTCATTGAGGTGAGAGGTGTCCCTTGCCGTCATGAGCTCTGTCTCTCTGCAGGCTGGATTCTGTCTCTCTGGACATAGCGAGCCCCAATGCCATAGACCTGACAGTCGCCACTGACGTGGAACACTGTGAATGTCCCCAGGGCTACATGGGGACCTCCTGCGAGGTACCGTCTGCCTCTCTGTCTTCCTCCCTTGTTCTTTCATAAGAAAAAAACAGTACACTGGACTTGCCGTGAGGATGAGTATTTGAATTTTAACTTTAAAAACCCAACATTTGGTTCAGACCTCATTGGATTATAGGGACGTTAGGAATGACGTTTAAAGAAATTGGATTCTTGTACCAGGAGTAGGCGGGAGCACCAGAAGATGCTGATTTCACGGAGTGCTCTTGCCTTAGCACACAGGGAACTTGTGGTACCCACGTCAGACTCTGCATTTATAAGCAGAATTGAACATGTCAGAACAGGATAGTTTCCGGCAAGCCTGGCCCATTTTGAGACCTTTACATCCCCTGGCTGTTTCACTTTCTTGGGTGCTGGACTCCACCTTACATAGCACCTACAGGTTTTGCATCATCTGTGGATCGTACAGATTGCAGATGAAGTACCTTCCAGAAAAGAAAATGCTGCAGCGGTGTAAATGTACCAGTGTTTTTCTTCTCCTTTTTCCCTGAACAGTGTAGTTTGCCAACCACTGTGTTGGGTATTATAAGTCACCTACAGAGGATGTAAGGTCCTCAGGAGGATGTGCATAGGTTGCATGCAAATACTGTGCCACTTCATAGAAGAGACTTGAATATGGAGGCTTTTGATGTCCCTGGGGTCCTGGAACCCATCATGCGTGGACGCTGGGCGATCGCTGTGTAGGAAAATGCACTTCCCGCTGTCGGTGAAAGTGCTGAATGCTTTGGACATTAGTATCAGTAAGAACTCTCCCTGAGACCGTCCCGTGTACACGGCAGTTCTCTGGGCCCCTCCTGTGCGTTCCCACTCGGGCCCTGACGGCAGTGGTGGCTCAGTTATGTCTCTTCCAAAGGTTAGGAAATGGACACGGTGAGATTCAGCACCTTGACCTTGGTCCCACAGCTAGGAATTGATCGTTTTGGAGTTTGACCTTCATGTAGCTGTGTAAGCTCCTACCGCGAATGTCTGCCATTGCTGTAATTTCTTGGCATTCATTTTTATAAAGCAAAAAGATTTAATCTCTCTCTTTCTTATGAATTGTTACCAATCATCACATTTGTAGTATGGCATTCATTTATAAAGCAAAAAGATTTAATCTCTCTCTTTCTTATGAATTGTTACCAATCATCACATTTGTAGTTAATAAAGTTGGGCTACTGTCTTAAGATGCAGATACTTGAGTGAATAATCCCATTTTAAATATTTGGCAGTTTGGGGATTTGTTTGCTTTGTGTTTTGGAGCCAACGATTCCTTGGAGGTTTTGAGCATGGATGTTTAAGCCCCAAAGTTTGCAGGCTCTGAGCACTGTGTCCGTAACGTGTGACTGGCCCACGCCTGCCCAACCTCCTCCCTGGGGCAGGAACACAGAGGGAGGGAAGAGGAAACCGGGAACTGGTAGCCAGGCCGGCTAGCCCGGCAGGGGGCAGCAGGGAGCAGCTGCTCTGAGATCCTTCCCAGGCCACTGGGCTCTGGAGGAAAAGGGGCCGCTGAGAGGGACTGACTGACACTAGCAGGCACGAGAAGCTCGGTGCAGTTGTGCCTCAGGACGCCCCATGCTTGTATTGTCCCTCAGATAAAGTGGAGAGAGAGTATTTTATAACCTCCACACCCCTCATATCATCTCTGGTGACTTGCAAGATACAGTCCAGTCAGATGCTATCTAAGCTGTCGTTCTCCTGCACCTTGCAGGGGATGCTGACAAGAAAGGAGTCCTGCGTGTTCAGCACAGGGGCTGCTCTGTTCCACAGTGGCCTGAAAGCATGGCTGAGGCCCCCGAGGATGTGAGGCTGACCATACGCCTGACCAGTGATGTTTTTGTTTGTTTATTTGTTTGAGACAGGGCCTCACTATGTAGTTGAGTCTGACCTGGAACTCACTATGTAGCACAGGCTGGTCTCGAACTCACAGCGATCCTCCTGCCTCAGCCTTCCGAGTGCTAGAATTACCGCTGGCTGGGAGAGGCAGGCAGCCGCAGGCAGGGCAAAGCTCTCCAAAGCCTTTGCACCTGCTGTTCCCACAGACTTGGGGCTGGTGCCCAGTCACTGCCACCTGCACCAAGCCCAGTGTCCGTGGCACAGACGCCTTAGGGGCTTCCAGAGGCTGTGCCGATGAATGCATTTACTTCCTTTGTGTAATTAAAATACTCTCTGAGAATTCTCTTAAAAAATGCTAACTCCCCGTGGGAAGACGCTGACTTTAATCACAAATCCATTGAGCCCCACGTCTGCTCTCTCGGGGAGTTTTGTGTCTGGGGGACTCTGGGCAGTGCATGTCCTTGGAGTGCACCTGGCTTTCAAGTGTCCCAGACAGACACTGCCCCATCCAGCCTCTGTCTGTAAGGCTGCGATGGGCGTGCAGCCGCTCCCGTGTTGGGTGATAGGGAGCAGTGGCCTCATCTCGCCACCAAGGGCCCCTGTGATGGTGGCCAGTTAAGTGGCACAGAGCAGCCCAGCCCCGCGTGGGAATGTGTGTGCTATTGTGTGGTAAACGTGAGACGCAGACGCTGCTGACAGAAACGGGTCCTCTCGTTTCTGAGCTGCTTCCCTCTGGGAGGACCTGGTCACCGCTGCGGTGTGTGCTGACTGGCTGTGTGACACCCAGCTTGTGTGTGCCTGCTCCCTCCCGTCTCCTGAACTACAGGCCTGGATTCTCAGCTAGTTCCATAGCTCGGTAAATTCACCAAAAATCCCCAAACTTCACACTTGCATTAGGTGAAGTTTGTGGCATGTCAGTGATACCATGATGAGGATGTTTCAGAAACTAGAAAAAAAAGTACATTTCTGCTCCCAAATGCGTGGGAGAGGAGGTGATTTGCACCATGTACAGAGTTCACGAGCTCGCTCACCCCTTTTACAGTCCTGCCAGCCTGGCTACTACCGCGTGGACGGCATTCTCTTCGGCGGGATCTGCCAGCCCTGTGAGTGCCACGGCCACGCATGGGAGTGTGACGCACACGGCGTGTGCCTGGTGAGTACTGCTCAGCCCTGCAGAAGCCACTTCCGCAAAGCATTTCCTCCGTAGAGTGGCCTGACTTTGCAGGCTCCGAGAGGAATCTGGAGGCTCGAGCCCTGCCTAGAAGAAGCAGCTCCTGCTTTTCTGTAACCCGTTTCCTTTGGGGGCCGAGTCTGTACATCCCTCACCCGAAAACCCATGCTGAAGCGCTCCAAAGCCAGCAGGCTTCTGCGGGGTAGCGTGACGCCCCATGGAAGAGTCCACACCAACCTTGTGTGAGGAATCAGTCAAGACACAGGCACGCTAAAAGTCTGTGTGCCTGTGACACAGATTAATTTCATGCTTACTTACACCTGGGTCCCATCCTCAAGAGACCACATTATGTAAATAAAATATTTCCACCTCTCCCCACAAAGATAATCCTAAGCCCAAAACTGCCTCAGATCCCAGTGGATCATGGCAGCAGGGAGGGGATGTGTGATATGCTTCCGATTTTTTAATAGTAGAACAATGAAAAGGAATTACTGACAGCAAAACTATGAAGCACTGTAAAGGTGGAAACATTGTCCACTGGTTAAGTACAAGGCATCAGGTCCCTCATGGAAGTGCGCATCTTTTGACAGTCTGATGCGGTGTGCCGGCTGCGGGAGTAACAGAACTTATCATCACGCTGCCTTGCACAGAATAATGCCGCTCAGTTAGTGCGGACCATTTCTGCCAGGAAGTACCTCCTTCATAAGCAGCGTGAGTCCAAACAGGGCTTCACAAATACGCAGAGCCCGCGCAGGGTGAGACTTGTTTTGTAGCTGCAGTAGAGAGTTTCAATCTTTGGAACTTGGGAATATTTTAACATAATATTTGTGCATATTTAAGGACCTCAAAGTGGTAATTCCATACGTGTATCAGATCAGGCAGGTACTGCGTCCATCTCCGTGGCTGTTTATCATCTGTGCACGTAGCCTCTGACCCCTGGTTACTCTGTAACAGGCTGTAGACTGCTGTGGACTCCAAGTTCCGTGCTACAGAACAGGCAAACCCATGCTCCAGTCTAACTGGATTGCTGGTTGTTGTACAGTTATCTAAAACCAGTTGTTTCATATACAGTGGACCCTTGACTTAAACTGGCCTGACATAAGAGCAACTTGGGCTATAACTGGAATTTTAATTTTAACTTACAACCAAAGTTTTGAGTTACAACCTGCATGCAGGCTGCTTGTGCTTCCAGATGGTCTCAGATACAGATCTAACCCCTAAAGAGCTCTAGAAGGAACATGACACCATCCTCTCCTGTGTGGGGTTTGCTGAGAACTCCTGGGCCGGTGTCTCTCTAAGGACACAGATCTGCCTGTGTGCAGCAGAGAGACTTCAAAGGCAGTGTAGCAGCCTGAGCCTTCACTGGCCAACTTGAGTTACAGCCCTCAGGACTGAATTGAGTTCCTAAGTCAAGGGTCCACTGCAGTTTGCTGTGTTTTCTGGTGGTTTCTTACAGGTGGACAGATCTGGTACCAGTTACTCTAATGTGGTCAGAGCAAAAATCTTAGGTTCTTCTTTCATACAAATCACAACTTGAAACGTTTGTTGACCTGGAGACAGATAACCCCCTCTCCCCTAGTGCTTGCTGCTGCGTTGTTGTTTTCGCGTTTGTCTTGTGTGTGTGTTTGAACTTGGGCTTCACACTGTCAGCCAATGAAACTGGAAATCCACAAAGGAAGCCGGCTGACTCCTCCCCTCACGCTGCATCCTAGGGCTGCACACACAACACCACTGGGGACCACTGCGAGCAGTGCCTGCCAGGCTTCTACGGGACGCCTTCCCAGGGGACAGCGGGGGACTGCCGGCGCTGCGCCTGCCCCCTCACCACACCGTCCAACAAGTAAGCTTCATTCCTCCACACTGGCCCAGCTCACCTGGCCCGCACTGGCACTGAGCTGCGTCCGGATGGCTCCGAAGCCAGGGTCTGTACCTTACCTGCGTGAGCTGAGCCCGGTCACTGGCTAGCATTAGACACGGACGCGATGAACGGTCATCGTTTTCAAAAGCTTGCATATTGATGTGGTAGCAGCGCCCTGGCAGGCTTCCTGGAGGAAGTCGCTGCTGAGTGTCGATGAGGATAAAGCCAGTTATGCCAGGCAGCGGCGGGAAGGGGCAGAAGAACAGGGGCGCCTTTGCCGCAGCTCCACACGGGATGGAGCAGGCACACGGGGCAGGCTGGGTCCAGAAACCCTGGGTTCTGGGCCATGGGCTGAGAACCTGTTGAATGTTGTTCGTAAGGACAGGTGTGATAGAAAGTACTCTGTTGCAGCTGAGCACAGTGGTGCACACCTGTACCCCAGCTCTCTGGGAGGCTGGGGCAGGAGGATTACAAGTTCAGGCCCAGCCTGGGCAACTAATTTTATTATTTTTGAGTCTTTGATGTCAAGGTTAGTGTCTTCCTGTGACATTACAACATGGAGACTTAGCAAGACCTTAACTCAAACATTTAAAAAAAAATTAAAAAGGGGATGCACCTCAGTGCAAAGGTCCTAGGTTCAATCCCCAGTAGAAAACAAAAAGAAAGCACAAGTTTATATTTGGGACTTTACAGCCTCTCAGAATGTCACACTCATTTCTGATATCCCCACAGCTTCAGCCCGATCTGCCACCTGGATGAGGAGGAGGATGTGGTCTGTGACCAGTGTGCCCCGGGCTACGCTGGAACCTGGTGCGAGAGGTGCCGTTGTTTTAAAGTTCATGATAAATGTCAAGGGTTTATTTTAAAATATCTTCCTGAAAATGTTTACCCAACACAGAATCACGGTGCATGCATGTGGGAATGTGGGTCTGATTCTGCTTGCCAGGGCAGTGGGTAGGGACCAGCTTAGCGTGGTCTGGGAGCTCCTGTGTATAGTTACCATTTCACAAAGTTATGCAGGAAGCCAAGGCACCCGATGGGGAGTGACGGGTAAATTTTGCTGGGGAAGTGTGGGGTGCAGGATTCCACCTCCTCTGGAGCTCGCTACAGCTGAGAAGAGCAGCAGGGAGTAGTGAGGAGTTGGGACTTGTGCTGCATGCCTTCGCGTGTCCCGCTGCTCCGGTGACTTGATTTAATGCTGACTCCGGAGGGCCAGGGTGCGTTAGAGACTCCTGTCATCAGGCTTCAGTCCCCACTGCCCGGTGTGTGACACAGGCCTGAGAAGAGACACACTGAGAGCTGAGGGACAGAACTAGGAGAGAGAGGGCGGGGGCGGGACGTCCAGCGCCTGTGCAGTGTCTGACAGGCGCTGCAGTCCCAGGCACTGACTTCTACTGGCAATCAGTTGGGGTAAAGGTGGTGTGTGGTTTCCATGGAAATTAATGTAAACTAGGCTCATAAAAGACAAGGCAAAGCATTCTCGAATCAGGAACAGAATAGACAGTGGGCCGGGGATTTAGCTCAGCAGTTCGGTGGCCTGCCTTGCAAGCGCAAGGACCCGAGTTCAATCCCCGGTACCAAAAAAAAAAAAGACAGAACAGACCCCTGAGTGGCAGGGGTGGGAGACGGGTGCACATCCCGGGACTTGTGCTCCCTGCTGCAAGCGCTCACACTGGCCCCAGGTGGGGAGGAGCTGCCCTGGTGACTCAGACTCAGAATGAGCTGGTCCTGTCCTGGGTAGCTACACTGATGCCAGCCATTTCTCATCCTGGATACAGATGTGCAGACGGTTACTATGGCAACCCCACCATCCCCGGGGGATCCTGCCTTCCATGTGACTGCAGCGGCAACGTGGACCCCTCCGAGCCCGGTCACTGTGACTCGGTCACCGGGGAATGCTTGAAGTGCGTGGGGAACACGGACGGCGCCCACTGTGAGAGCTGTGCAGATGGGTTCTACGGAGACGCCGTGACGGCCAAGGACTGCCGCGGTGAGTGTAGGGTGAGGACGAGCTCGCCCGGGGTCCTGCCGAGTCTGCGCTGGACCATTGCTGTCCCGAGGCCAAATCCCCTCCTCCATGCCTCTGTGGATGGTTTGTGACTAAACTGCTTTCCAAAGTCTCAGCTCTGCTCCCGCGGCTGTCACCTGTGTGGCGAGGACACTGGTGGCAGTGGGCTTGCGAAGTGAAGAGCGGGAAACTGTGGGATGGTGGAAGTGCTGGCCCATCGTGTGGCCCAGGGTGTTTTCAAGGCTGGTTGTTTTCCTGCTGGCTCTTATCTTTGCGGAAACAGGGTTGTAATTTTTGAGTCTTTGATGTCAGGGCTGGTCTTCCTGTAACATTACAACATGGAGACACAAGAGGGCACCAGGGGCACAGAAACATCTCCTAGACATGTGTTCAAGGATTGGAAATGGGTTCCAGCCTTGCCCTGGGCTCCTCACCCTAATCGTCTGCAGCTGCACCAAAAGCTTCGGCATTCTAGGGAGAGAGAGCTCAGTGGGTTGCTTTCTACACCAGGAGCCAGTAGGATACAGGCTGAAATCTGCTCATAGAACTGAGCAGCTGGCACAGCAGACCATGGGGCCCTGGAGGACACGAGCGAGAGTGGGGTGGGACTGACATGGGGGGCTGGCAGGGGCCAGAAGCCGGTCAGGGCCGGGGCTGTGCTGCGTTCACATCTTGTGAGTGGTGGGAGCCAGGAGAGAGCCGGGAGTGTTGTGTGCAGCTGGGCTGCACAGGGGCAGCCACAAGAGGGACCACAGGGCCTGCTTACATCAGCACCTAGAGGCGAGAGGGGCCCTGTGTCACACAGGAAGGCCGATTCCAATGGCTTCTCTGAAATGCTCAAGCTGGAAGCGTTTGGGATTTCAGATGCTTTCCCGAGTTAAGAACATGCACATGCACAGAGAGATCTGTGGGAAGCTGGCACCTAGTCTGCCATGAGACCCACTGAGGCCTCGTACGCTCCTGCGGGAATTGAGGTGACCCGCTGCAGTATTTCCAGCATGCCCGCACTCACTGCTCTTCAGATTTTCCAAAGCACTGCAGATTTCTGATTCCCCGATTAGCGTTACTCGGTCTGTGTCCATGGCCTGGAGTGCATTTTCTGAGGCCAAGTATTCATTGGCATGTTTGGTCAGTGAAGGCATCAGATAGTATGAAAATTAAATAATACAAAGCACATAGGGATAGTTACCCTGTGAATTTCGATCTGACTGTTTTGGGACCCTGGAACTTGCATCCTTTTGAAACAGTAGGGAACTCTGTATTAGTATTGTAATTGGAATGTCTCGCTTGAAGCCGCAAATCACTCATGACTTACAGTAGGGAAATAGTCTTCATTAAGTTATGCAGTAAAATACGAATGCATACATTATCTAGATTACGCTGTGGCTGAACTTTAAAAGATAACACATGTTGTGTTCGAAATGAAAGCAAATGGCTAAATTGATTTTGAAATCTCCATTGGTGTTTTCAGCAGAAATCTGCTGATACACATCAGCAGCTCCATTTAAAAGTTTCACGGCATTCATGAAATTTGTCAAGCTGCTTTGCTAATGATTGCCTTGGTACCTTCAGTATCCCCATCTATTCTTATCTTAATAGCTTGAATATTTTTTTCTCTGATAGCTGCTTCCACCAACCAACCCTATTTTGGCTTACTCTTCAAGAAAATGCTAGACTTTTAGCTATTGCAAAGTAGTATTTATATACAGAATCCACCAAAAAATGTATACACACTTCAGGAAACGGAGAACTTGTACAAATAGTTCAGTGCTAAATGTATGGAGACGTCATGAGGTTGATGCCCGTGACCTTTGGCCTCTGCAATGACAAGAGCTGCTCAGAGTGGCAGCCGTGAGCACCCAGGCCTTCCTGAGTACGGCGAGCTGCTGCTTGGGTCCCCCTGGTCCCTGAGACTGCTGCCCCTGCGTTTCCAGCTTCTGCACTAAGGGCCGGCAGTGTAGTGGGTTTTCTGTGATACATGACACCCTCTAGGGTCCCCATAGGAGGGTGGCACCATCCGCTGAGAAAATCATACTAGTTTTGTTTCTCTGAAGTGTATACATTTTTTGGCAAGCTCTGTGTGTATGTGTGTTGTTTTTTTTGGTTTTGTGGTGATGTCTTATCTGTTTAAGCTTTTTCCTTTGGGCGTTAAAGTCTCTTGCTGTACCCATAGCCCTGTGTGACTGTGAGTGTGTCCTTCCTGTGCACATTAGCCTGTGACTGCCACGAGAAAGGCTCCCTGTCCAGCATGTGCCACCGTGAGACTGGGCACTGTGACTGCAGACCCCACGTGACCGGACAACGCTGTGACCAGTGCCTGGTAAGATGCTCGCTGGTCACTGCCCACGATTCCACTGCCGTCACTGAGCTCATGATGGTGGGGAAGAGCGCCCTCCCTCCGCGGGGCAGCGTGTGTCCCCTTTCCGAGGCCTGGCGTGATACCACGAGCACCCTGTGGTTCTGTGGGGGTGCCCTGCGTGTCACCTGGAAGATGTCCTGTGCATGTGGTCGCTTCCTGGCTTACGTGAGCCTTCCCCTCTTGTGACGCAGCCCGGCCACTACGGGCTGGACGCCGGGCTCGGCTGCCTGCCCTGCAACTGCAGCACGGCGGGCTCCACCTCGGACGCTTGCACGGACCAAGGCCACTGTCACTGTGTGCCAGGCGTTGCCGGGAGAAGGTGCGACCGGTGTTCGCATGGCTTCTACGCGTACCGGGATGGCGGCTGCACACGTAAGTGTGGTCCCTCGCTCGCTCCCGGTTTCAGGCTTTCAGTCACTGCCGGGCGCAGGCATGAGCTCTCGGCCCGGCCCTCCGTCCCCTGCGCCATGAGCTTCAGTTTGTCTCTGAGCCTCATGTGGCTCTGGTGTCCTCGCCTCCGAGACGGGGAGCTGACTGTGGGGACAGCGGGTGCTCAGCACCAGTGAGGCTCAGTGACAGCAGCCCCAGCTGTGCTCCCAGTCTGGGCCCTGTCCCGTCTGCTCTCCGAGTTCCAGAAGGGTCCCTGGGACGGCCAAATAAATGTCTCAGGGTCCAGAGCTCTCCCTGCAGTGTACGACTGCCTCTCTGTTGCAGCCTGCGACTGTGCCCACACTCAGGACAGCTGCGACCCTGAGTCTGGAGAGTGCGTCTGCCCCCCCCACACCCAGGGCCCGAAGTGCGAGGAGTGCGCGGCCCAGCACTGGGGCTGGGATGCGGAGCGCGGGTGTCAGGTGGGTGCTGTGGCCTTGGCTTCCGGCCAGGGCTCCGCGGGCCGCTTGGCCATCCAGCGGCTCCTTGTCCTGCTGCAAACTCCACAGCTCTATCTACTCGGAACAGCTGGGCACGGCCGTGTGCACCTGCAGGCCCAGCTACGGGGAGGCTGAGGCAGGATTTTGACACCAGCCTGGGGAACACAGGTCTCCTCTCAGTGAACCGATCCATCAGTCGGTAAAATCTGTGCAGACTGCAGGAATAAATAAGGAAGGTGAAGCAGCATTCAAAACTCTTTATTTCGAGTTTTAAGAACCGAGCTGTGAAGATGATGTTTAGAAAATCCAAAGGCTTTTTGTGATGTTTGTTGGGGGCTGGGTCGTGTGTGTGTGTGTGTGTGTGTGTGTGTGTGTGTGTGTGTGTGTGTGTGTGTGCTGTCTTTGAGTCTCTCTC